AAAATAATTAAAATAAAAAATAAATATAAAATTAAATGTAAAAATATTTAAAAACAAAATTGCTAAAACTAAAATTGTTCCTGTCTTCCAGGGTCTGTTCAGGAGGAAAGTCTCCATCGCCAACATGCTGGCGTGGAGCAGCGAGCCCATCAAGAAGCCCATGATCATGACGACGGACCGCACGGTGAAGCGCGAGGCCGTGGAGCTATTCAGACTCATCCAGAGCTACATGGGCGACCGGCGGGGCAAATGCGAGCCACTGGTGGTGGCTCTGGAGGTGGCGGTGAGGGGCTGGAGCTGCCAGGGTCTGCGGGATGAGCTCTACATCCAGCTCTGCCGACAGACCACGGAGAACTTCCGCTACGACAGTCTCCAGAGAGGCTGGGAGCTCATGGCCATCTGTCTGGCCTTCTTCCCCCCGACGCCTCGCTTCCACAGCTACCTGGAGGGCTACATCTACAGACACATGGACCCGCTCAACGACACCAAGGGTATGCAGAAATCCTGCCAAACAACTCCGGCATTTCCTGCTGGAACAGGAATTCGGGATCATCCTTTTTTTAAAAGCCAAGCTTTAACAAAATGATGCAGGATTTACTAATTTTCACTCAGACATTACTCGTATTTTTCTCAAATAGCAAGAAGGAAGCCATACTTAATAGCTTATAATCTGGACAGAAGCCACTAACCAAATAAATCCATTCCTGCAATTCCAGTCATGTTAGATATTTGTTATGCAGGAAGAGCAAACATACTAATTTTATTTTAGTATCACTGATTTTTGTTCATATTTTGAATTGGAGTAATTGTTTTTCTTTTTTTTTTTTAGTTAAAGTTTTAGTAATTTTGTTGTGTTTTTGTCATTTCTATTAGGTCTTGTTTTTTTATGTCCATTTATTATATTAAATAATAAATATAATAATATAAAATTGTCAAATATAAAGGATATTAAATATATTGAATTATGTTAAATAATCATTTTAAAGTTTTTAGTTTTAATTTAAAAGGATTTAGTTAGTCATATTTAGAAAGTTAGTTTAGTAATGTTTTATTTAGAATATTTTATAATATGATTTTAAAGTATTTAAATGTGTGAATGTTATTTTAGTATCACTGGCATACTATTATAATGTCATTTTTTAATTAATTAATTCATGTTCTGTTTTAATTAATTCTGTTCAGTAATGTTTTAACTCAGAACATTTTTTTATCTAAAATATAAGTATTCCAGTGATATTAGCAATGGTAAAACACTCAATAGGATGTGAACCTACAGTAGATAAATAGTGTGCAAATTTGCAATATTTTTAAATGGTTAGCAAGATTATAATTAGTAAGGAATGGAAGGTCAAGACTGTTTTTAAATCAATGGATATTAAGTTTACACATTTTGCTTCATGCAACATGCAAACTGTTAAAGCACGCAGCGAAGTGAAATTAAGACACTGTTTTGTGCTGTACGCTCCACACTGACCCGACAGTTATTATTAGGCTCTTAAGATGCTGAATATCTGAAGCTGAGTCTGCGTTATATTTGACGTCTGCTTGTGTTTCTGTGTTGCAGGAGTGGCGATTAGCTGCTATGCAAAATACTGTTACCGTAAACTACAGAAAGCTGCGCTCACCGGAGCCAAGAAGGTGCGTGTCTTCCGTCTATCAGAGCACAAACTCGAACAGCATGACGCAGGAATTTCTTCAAACTGCTTTCACTCAGAAACTGCTAGTAGTTTTCACAAATGTGACCCTGGAGCAAAGTGTCAACTTTTCAAAATTGAGATTTATACATCATATGAAAGCTGAATAAATAAGCTTTCCATGGATGTATGGTTTGTTATGATACAACTATCTCTGGAAAATCTGGAATCTGAGGGTGCAAAAAAATCTAAATATTGAGAAAATCATCTTTAAAGTTGTTCAAATGAAGTTCTTAGCAATGCATATTACTAATCAAACATTAAGTTTTGATATATTTACGGTAGGAAATGTACAAAATATCTTCACGGAACATGATCTTTACTTAATATCCTAATGATTTTTGGCATAAAAGAGAAATGTATATTTATGCATCATATGAAAGCTGAATAAATAAGCTTTCCATGGATGTATGGTTTGTTAAGATACAACTATCTCTGGAAAATCTGGAATCTGAGGGTGCAAAAAAATCTAAATATTGAGAAAATCATCTTTAAAGTTGTTCAAATGAAGTTCTTAGCAATGCATATTACTAATCAAACATTAAGTTTTGATATATTTACGGTAGGAAATGTACAAAATATCTTCACGGAACATGATCTTTACTTAATATCCTAATGATTTTTGGCATAAAAGAGAAATGTATAATTGTGACCCATACAATGCATTGTTGGCTATTGCTACAAATATCCCCCAGCGACTTAACACTGCTTTTGTGCTCCAGGCTCACAAATAATGACAAAGAAACTAATTAATTTAATTAAAAATTTGGTTTTGGCAATATTATTTTAAGACTTTAAAATATTTGCTATATTTGTATTAATATTTCATTTATAATAAGAATTTAAAACATTTAAAATGAACACAGTCAGTGAAAATGTAAATATTATCTGTCTTATTTTGTTATTTTAGGAAAAAAAATGTACTGTAGAATATTATTTCATAACTTAATTTTAAAATAACATTTTCTAAATACATGTAATCAGTGACATTTTATTATTTTATAACTTATACCAATTTAAAATATTTAAATGTATGCAATTAGTGAAGATGTGATTGTAATCAGTATTGTTTTATTATTTTATTGTAAATATTATTTTCAAACTTAGATGAATGTAATATATTTAAAACATTAAACAATTAATAACATTTGTAATTTTATTATTTTGACGATATTATTTTCAAACTTACAAATATTATAATATTATTATCTTATTGTATTTATTATTATTAATACTTAATTTGTATTATATTATTATTATTATATTATTTGAAAGCTTATAATATTAATTTAAAATATTTAAAATGGTTTGCAATGTAACACATTTAATTAAATGTTGAATTTTTTTTTATTAAAAGGCAAAAAAAAGACTAATTTTGAAAAATATTTTAGTTTTTACGTTGAATGAATGGCTCAGTGTTTGCAGAGCGTCTGGCGTCTGTTTGTGCTCTAATGCGCTGCGTGTGTTAATTGGCTGTGAAGTGTCGTGGGGGTCTGGTTCGTCCTGCTATTTAACAGTTTTAATTAACATTCAGTTTCCGGAATTCTCCTGTTGCCCTGGAGACGATTATTATCTTATTGTATTTATTATTATTAATACTTAATTTGTATTATATTATTATTATTATATTATTTGAAAGCTTATAATATTAATTTAAAATATTTAAAATGGTTTGCAATGTAACACATTTAATTAAATGTTGAATTTTTTTTTATTAAAAGGCAAAAAAAAGACTAATTTTGAAAAATATTTTAGTTTTTACGTTGAATGAATGGCTCAGTGTTTGCAGAGCGTCTGGCGTCTGTTTGTGCTCTAATGCGCTGCGTGTGTTAATTGGCTGTGAAGTGTCGTGGGGGTCTGGTTCGTTCGCTATTTAACAGTTTTAATTAACATTCAGTTTCCGGAATTCTCCTGTTGCCCTGGAGACATCACGTGTTTCAGACAGTCACGTGGTGATATGCACTCTGATGCATGATGGGTATCATCGCACACGCGTGACGGGATGCTCCCGGTGTGAAGCACATACATGTGTTTGGTGTGAACGGTTGTGATGGCAGTGTCCTGTGGAGATTCCAGTGGGTTTGTGTGTAAATGTGTGTGTGTGTGCCAGACTCTCAGCGGGGTAAAGCTTCAAAACTCGGCTCCGCTCCAAACCCTAGTGTGCTGCCTACATAGGCGTCATTCAAAGCGTCACGCACACATGCATAAAAGGTACAAAGGCAGGGATCCAAGTATGGAAAAGTGTGGGATTTGATTTGAGTCATTTCCAGATCTGGAAAAGTATGAAAAGGCAGAGTTTGTATTTTTTGTCTGTTTGTTTGTTTATTTAAGACTATTGCCATATATTGTTTTCTAAAATAAAAAATTGAGGTTTTCTTAAAATAAATGTAAAAAAAAAATTTCCCCAAGTATTCTTCAAGTATTTTCTTTATGCAAATAAATAATACATTATTTCACCAGTAAATGTATTATACTGATAATTATTAATATCTATATATTATAATATAATATAATAATAATTATACTAATAATGAAAATTATTATCCTGGATAGCATATCCTTCTATTATTTTGAAAATACAATTATGTAAATAAATGTAATCACTGACTATATTATTTTCAAACTTATAATATTAATTTATATATATATATATATATATATACAGTATATATAAATTTAATCAGTATTTTATTATTTCAATTTGAATAAATTAATTCAAAAATATTTAAAATGTGCATGTAATCAGTATTAATTTATTATTATTTTGACAGTATTGTTTTAAAACTTATACATTTAAAATAATATTTTCCTAATACATTTAATCAATGACAATATTATTTTCAAACATATAATATAAATTAAAAAATATTTCAAATGAACACAATCAGTGAGAATGTGAATGTAATAAGAATTATTTTGGCAGTATTAGTTTAAAACGCATAATATAAATTTAAAACAGTGTTTTCTTATCAGTGACAATATTATTTTCAAACTTAAATATGCATTTAAAATAATATTTTCTAAATAAATATAATCAAATCAGTGATGATATTATCTTCAAAGATATTTAATATGTATGCAACCAGTGAAAATGTGAATGCATTGAGTATTATTTTATTATTATTTTGACAACATTGTTTTAAGACGTAGCATATGAATTGAAAGTATTTAAAATCTACACAGTTTGTGAAAGAGTGCCAAATGTAATCCTGTATTTTAGCTCTGCAATTTTAATTAGATTGCCGCACATTGACGTTCATTGTTCGTTGATTTGTATGAGCTAAACATTTGGCAACATAATAACATACATATATTTGTGACCCTGGAGTCATAAGGGTCAATTTTTCAAAATGGAGATGTATACATCATCTGAAAGCTGACTAAATACGCTTTGCATTGATGTATGGTTTGTTAGGATCGGACAATATTTGGTCGAGATACAACTATTTGAAAATCTGGAATCTGAGGGTGCAAAAAAATCTAAATATTGAGAAAATCATCTTTAAAGTTGTTCAAATGAAGTTCTTAGCAATGCATATTACTAATCAAACATTAAGTTGATATATTTACGGTAGGACATTTACAAAATATCTTCATGGAACATGATCTTTACTTAATATCCTAATGATTTTTGGCATAAAAGAGAAATGTATAATTGTGACGCATACAATGTATTGTTGGCTATTGCTACAAATATACCCCAGCGACTTAACACTGCTTCTGTGCTCCAGGGACACAAATATATCTGGAGAAGTCTCATTTTGAAATGGATGATGTGCAGGAGCTCGTCTGCAGACTCAGCAATCCCAGCATGCACTGTGATGATTTTAGCTCTGAGTTGTTTTCTGCTCTCTGTGTCTGCAGGGTTTGAACAAGCCCTCGATCGAGGAGATCGCTCACGCTCGTAACGCCATCTTCCGGCCCTCCATGTTCGGCTCGTCTCTGGAGGAAGTGATGGAGATGCAGAAGGACCGTTATCCCGACAGGCAGCTGCCGTGGGTTCAGACGCGTCTGTCCGAGGAAGTGCTGAACCTGAACGGAGACCAGACCGAGGGCATCTTCAGGTCACACATCGGCCTTCATCAGACATTTTGCATATTATACTGATTTCTGAAGATCATGTGACACTGAAGACTGGAGTAATGATGCTGGAAATACAGCTGCACATCACAGAAATACATTACATTTTAATGTATAAAAGATTTTACATCATAATAATATTTCACAATATTACATTTTTTTACTGTATTTTTGATCAAATAAATGCAGCCTTGATGAGCAGAAGAGACTCCTGTAAAGAACATTACAAGTCTTACTGATCCCAAACTTTTGACCGGTAGTATATATATATATATAAATAAGAAAGTGTTGTTCTCAAGTAGAATTAAGTTGTTTAATCTAAGTAGTAAAAGATTTAGTTTAATAACATCTAAAGGCATGTTTTCCACACACAAGAAAAATTATATTTCATAATTTTTTATTATTATTATTTATTTATTTTGCATTTATTGCCTTATTGTTTTTATTTCTATTTTTGCATTTAATTTTCGTACTATTTTTATTTCTATTTTTGCACTTTATTTTCTTATTTTTATTTAAATATTTTGTTGTCTTATTATTATTTATTTATTTTGCATTTATTGCCTTATTGTTTTTATTTCTATTTTTGCATTTAATTTTCGTACTATTTTTATTTCTATTTTTGCACTTTATTTTCTTATTTTTATTTAAATATTTTGTTGTCTTATTATTATTTATTTATTTTTTATTGTCTTATTGTTTTAATTTCTATTTTTGCATTTTATTTTCTTATTTTTATTTCAATTTTTTGTCTTTTATTGTCTTATTGTTTTACTTTCTATTTTTGCATTTTATTTTCTTGTTATTTTTATTTCTGTTTGCATTTTATTGTCTTATTGTTTTAATTTCTAATTTTGCTTTTTATTTTCTTACTATTTTTATTTCTATTTTTTGTTTTGTTGTCACATTGCTTTTATTTTATTTTTTTGCATTTCACTCTTATTGTTATATTACATATAATATATAACAATAAGACAATGAAATGTAAATATATATATATATATATATATATATATATATATATATTCAGACGAAAACTCATTGGCACAATAAATACAGTATATATGGAATGAATTGTTTTAAGATAAAACAACATATTAATCAATATAAATGTAGATATCTCTGTCTATACTGCAGAAAGCTATGTTTATTAAAGCCTGTGTCTGTGGTGTGTTTGCGTGTCTCAGGGTTCCTGGAGACATTGATGAAGTAAACGCTCTGAAACTACAGGTGGACCAGTGGAAGGTGCCCATCGGCCTGGAGGACCCACATATTCCAGGTATCCCACAATCCTTTAGTCTGATGCATGCATAAACAAGTGCCCAAATAGTTAACATGTATTCAAAAATCCATTAGAAATAGTATGCCATGCGAGCACCTTTGGTAATTTGTGATGCACTAATTCTGTCCTGGTTTACTAGACTCAAAATTTAATGCAGGATTTCATTTAAAACTATTTTTATTCAGAAATTGCTAGTAAATCTCACAAATAATTACAAAGAAATGGCAAGTAACACATTGAATAAGGAAGAATGAAATAGTATTTTTTTTTGTAAAACGCACTCTGATAATCTAAAACATTTTTTACAGTGTATGTAGTGAAGATGGCAGTCATATTTCTATAAATCAGACGGCTGAGAAATGAACGTTCTCTGACTGGATTGGCGGATTATTTTTGCTGGTTGTTTTGAGCGGTTGTTCACGATGCATTATTAATAAAGCTTATATCTGTAGCTGTTTTGCAGTCAGACAGCAGTGGAACAAGCAAGAGCAAAATGTTTCAAAATATTTCACTAAATTATTAAATTAAAAGTTACATCAGTGAAACATTTAAAAGTGTTCTTTAGATCATTGCTAAAATAAAAATAAATGCATATTTTAATGAAAAACACGTTATTAACAATTAAAACATTTTTGTTAAATGAAATAATGCTGAAATATGACCAAATATAAATATTAGATGAAAAACCTAAACCTCTTTCATTCAGTTGCCAAAGGCAAATTCTAAAATAAAATAAATTATAGAAAAAAATATACAATAAATTTTTAAATAAATTTAAAAAAAATTATTTTTGGTTGGTTTCTAAAGCAACATTTCTAAAATAGGTTCTAAAATAAGTTTTGTTTATGCAAAATATTATTTCTTATTTCTAGCTTCTGATTTTGTGGTGAAATATGGCAAAATGTTTTATGTTAAAAAGCAAATTTTAACATAAAAGTTTCATGACTTAATAATTGTTCTACTGTAATTAGTGTAGCTATGATTAGTCTAGCTCCAGTGATATTTTTGGCAACTAAAATTAAACCTAGTAAATCATTTATTTATTTATTTTAAATAAAGCTGAAATAAAATTAAATATAAATATTAGATGAAAAACATATTTCAGTTAGCTTCCAAAGCAGCATTATTTAAATTATATTTATATTATTCTAAAGGTAATTAAAATTTTAAAATATATTAAAACTAAAACTGAACTTAATCTAAAATAAATTAAAGCTAAATAGTAATATTTAAAATGAAAAACAATAAAAATGGCAAAATTAACTAAAATTAAAATAAAAACTAAAGGTATAAAAATAAAAATTAGTTTAAATAATTAATGAAGACTATAAAAGTGCATAAATAATACTAAAATAATGTAATGGTGTCTCACACACACTCACTCTCACACACACACACACACACACTCACTCTCACACACACACACACACACACACACACACACACTCACTCTCACACACACACACACAGTCACTCACACACAC